GGTAGGAATTGAAGTTCAATCTCTTCTTCTATGGATATGCAATTCCAGCACAATTTGTTGGAAGGATTTTCATTTCTTCATTCTGTTGCTCTGGTACCTTTGTCGATATTTTTACTGGATATATAATGTAGGTTGGAAGTTTTGCTTTTCTTTTTCTTTTTTTTCTTTCAGCCCTTTACAGATGTCATTTTCAGTGTATTCTGGCTAATATTTCTAATGTGAATTGGGCAGTTTGGATTTTTTTATCATTGTTCCCTTTATGTCTGTCTCATCTCTTTTTCTTTGGCAAATTTTAAGATTTTTCTCTTCTGCATTGATTTTCAAAATTATATTATGGTATCCTTTGGTGTGGTTTTATTTGTATGGCTCTTATTTTGAATTATTAATATTGCTTGGTTCTGTGAGTTTATATTTTTTGTTTAATTTGAAAAGATTTCAGCCATTGTTTCTTCAAATATATTTTGCTCATTTTTTTCATTTATTCATTCCTTTCTCTTCTTCTGGTACTGCAGTTAAATTTAGGAAAGACCATTCAGTGTTGTCCCACAGGTTACTGAGGTTCTCATTTTTGTTTCATTCTTTTTTCCCCTCTGTGTTTCAATTAGGATAATTTCTGGTGTCCACTGATCATTTCTTTTTTGATATCTAATTTAAAGCATTTTTAATTTCAGAATTTTATTTTTCAGTTTTTGAATTTGTGTTTCTCCGTCAAAATGTCTGTATTGATATTTCCTATTTGCTTTTATAATGTTCATGGACTTTTTTTTAAAAAATTCAACAGACGCATTTATAATATTCATTTTAAAGCATTGAGCTCCTAATTCTGTCATCTTTGTTAATTGTCGTTCTGTTTTTATTGGCTGATTTTTCTTCTGATTATGGGTCATTTGTTTTGCTTTTTCTTCTGTCTAGTTTTTTACTTTTTAATCCTATGCTGGACATTATGGATCTTACATTATTGAGTGTCTGAATTTTGTAAGTCAGTGTTAAGTTTTGTTGTAGCGGGTAGTTAATTTACTGCATAACAGCTTGCTTTTTTGGAAGCATTTTGCTTATCTTTGCTAGAGTAGGTCTAAAATAGCCTTTTCTCTAAGGCTAAATTGGACCTATATCTAAGGCATAGGCTATCTGAGGTCTCTCCTTTATACTTAATACTTAATAGTCTCCTTAAAGTTTCTTCTTTCTAAGTGGCCTTAACTGAAATGTCTTCCAGCCCTACGTGGACTCCTGGAGTTGATCATTTCCTAGCTCCCTAGTAGTCGTTTCTTTCCTGGTAGTTTTTTTTTTCACTGTTAGTTATTCTTTGACTGACCTTGTGAAGTGTCGCCCTAAATATACAAAGCTTTGTATTTTTCCAAATATTTGTGGATTTCCAGAGCTCTTTTCTGCACTGTTTTCTTCTCTCCAGTACCCAGGCCTGAAAATTCAATAGTCCTGAACTCTATTTTCCATCTTCTTAGCTCATTGTAACCACTGTACTTCTTTTGTTTTTCCCCTTTCTGTGTTGCAGTCCCAAAACTGCCTTCAGGCAAAAAGCCAGAGTGATCTTTTTTGTATCCTTTCACTCACAGATCACCCTCTGGCACTACCAGTTATCCATATTTGAAAAATTGTTATTTTCAATCTTATAAAGAGAAGGCTACTCCAGTATCAATTATTCCTCTAAGGCCAGAAGCTAAAGTCCAAAGTACCCAAGTTTTAACACATGTGATACCCAAACAAATCAAGTCTGCAGATCCATGCAGTCATAGGTCTCTGGTTTACTATCATTTAAATAAAGCATTCTGTTTGTTTGTGATTTGGGAAAATGGTCATTACCACAGTTCTAAAAATTATCAAGAACTCCCAGCAATTTAGCAAAGAACAGACAGGTTCTGTGGCAGCTTGGAAGTCCAAGCTGCTGCTATTTGGTTCAGAGTCTCATGGATAGCAAGACCCCAACTACAATACCGAAGATGAAGATAATAACTTAGGTTTCCAGGGAGAAACAAGATTGTAGACCAATAACTTGAAACAGGGAAAAAGACTAGAGCTAAAATATTGGACTGGTTTAACCAAGGGTAGTTAGCTGGAAATTTGGGCTCTGGAGCTAGTATTCTTATAGAATTGCAAAAGGGATGGAGGGAATTCTGATTCAGGGAATAACAGCAGAACAAGTAGCTAAATTTGGCTACATCCTGAATCAGATTATCAGTGAGATCAAAGAAAGAAGCAGTTGAAAAGTCCAGTTTGGGCAAATTGCATCGCCCTTTCCTGATTGGAAACCCTTTGGTCTAGGATTGCATCAGAATAAAATCTTTATGCCAAAACATCAGCGGTTCCAGCTGGGGCAGACAGAAAATGTGGGCTGAGGGTCACCCTTTAGCTGCAAGCCAGCAAAGCTTTATGTGAAAGCTTTTTAGAGCACTTCCTGCATGTGATTCAAGCAGTTTAAAAGTTCAGGCCTGTGGATTATTTATCTTAAGAGTTCAATTAGTTAAATAGCATTAGAACTTCTTGATATCATCAACATGGCCTCACAAAACATAATCTGTAAATATGACACATGTAATTTTATGGCACAAAACAAAATTAAAAAGCCCCACAAGCAATAAAATAGGCAGTGGTAAAATGAATGTGGCAGAGGGAAAATTATGAGAGTAATTGATCTCCTGATCATTAAGCAAGATATCTATTGATATTTTACAAAATCCATTTCAGGTAAGTGCATCCACTGACCTTTTTTTTTTTCTCCCTATTACAAAATGTCCACCCAGAGGGAGCCAAAATAACTGAGCAAATAATGAAGATGACAGTGGGAATTACCTCAATGTACTGTTAACATAGCTTGTACTCAGAAATACCAAGCAGACAGCAGTTTTCATGCCAGCTACCCAAATTGATCTTAGTAAGCTCTCAACAAGTGCACTGACCTAGCTTCTGGCATTTGATGATGGAGTTTTCTTTTTTTAAAGCCCCATTGTTCATGGAGTGAGTACCAGAGTACCTGATCAAACTTCTGCACAACTGAGTCCCAGGCTATATCTGCGGTAGGATTAGTCTCCTGAGTTTGGTATCATGAACTCGAAACTCCGTGATTTGCCCTTTAATTAGAGACCTTCAGGCTCAGCTCCAGGCTGCTTACCATTTTCCCCTTAGGATAGATACCTATTTTCGAAGGGATTTTTCTGCTAGTGTCTGATCAATAATTGAACTTCCTGGTAGCGTTGTGCAAAGATCTCTGGACTTTGGAGTCAGGGAACCTTGATAACAACCCTGGCTTTGAACACAATTCTTCTACACCTTGTCTCGGAAAACACTTAACACCTAGGATGTTCAGGTGCTCACAGAGGCCTTTTCTCACCACCCTAGCTAATCTACCTCTCCTGTCCCAACCCCAGCTCTCGGTCACCGCCATCACCCCACCCTGGTTTATTTCCTTAACAGCACAGATCACTATCTAAAACTAATTGTCTTATATATTTATAATTGTCTTATATATTTATTTCCCTGCATTAGAATATTATCCCAAAGAGACCAGACATCACCACCATTGTATCCCCAACAGCTTCTGGCAAATAGTAGATGTTAAAAAGTAATTGTCAAATCAACTATTACATAATTAAGCCACTCCTGCTTCAGATTCAGTAAATATTCTGTTCCTTTTTCAACCTCTTCAACTTCATTATCACAAGCTACTAAGCAGCCAAATGAAGTTGTTGATACTCAGTATAGTACTCGATTTCTTTTAAACATCCCAGAAGTGTACCGTGTTTTATCTGGAAATGTTCATTGAGATCCTGGGTGTTCTAAGGGTAGGATGTGTGAAGGCGACATAGTCTCTACCCAGAAGACTGTCAAGGCAGAGTTTAGTGGGGAGTGAGAGAGAGTGGAGATTCAAGCTTGTAGACAAATTACAATATAATAAAAATGCTGTAATAAAATTGTAAATAAAGGGAACAGTGGAAATTTCTGCCAAGCAGAGGTCAGGTTGCGAGAAGAGTTTTGTTCTAGAAAAGCACGTACAAAATAGTGATATTTGAGAATGGTCTTGAAGACTAAAGAAAGAGAAAGGAATATTCCAGCCAGAAGCCACAGCATGAGCAAAGGCATGAAATTAAATCTTCCTGATGTTTTTGAGGAAAGAGCATTGGTAAATGAGACAGAGGTGGTTGGCGGTTTACAGATCTTATTTATAGGGCTGAGTTAATATCTAGCTTTTAGGTAATTGGGGATTACCTCACTCTATTTCTGAATAATTCCAAAGAAACTGCTAAGGTGCCTATAGTATAAAAATAAGCAGATAATGTTGAAATCTGTCCACACCTGGGTGTTGCAAGTCAATCTTTGGAATATGTATCCTAGAACTGAAGACCTGGAGATACTTTCAGAGCCAAGCCTACTGAGCATTTGATGGATACCCTCTGTTTCTGCCTAATGAAAATAAGATTTTTGAGGCCTATTTCCAAGTATAAAGGAAAAGGAATTAAATTTCTTCCATACGGCACTGGACAAAAGGATGAAATTAAGACTAATGGAATTTTTGATTTTGCTCAATTGAGATTTTGCTCAATTCAACTGTTCCAACAATTAAAATTCTATCAATATCCTAGGCTTGTCCAGGCAGTAGTAAGGATTCCATCCCAAGAGATGGATAAACAGAGGATGGAATTACATATTTCACAAATATTTTTGAGGAGATTCAGGTGTCAGATTGTGAATTAGATGACCTTCTAAATCATTCCCAATGCTAAGGTTCTGTTTTAATTTGTATATCATCAAAGTCTATTCAATCATCGAATAGTTAAAAATGCCTTCTGTGCCAGGTACTGGAAACAAATAGATAAATATGTCTAGTATTAAAACATAGGGTTTAAACTCTACCGTGTTATCTCTGCTTGTTCACACACATACGTCAGGTTCACTGCTCAGCTACTTGGCTTATCCAGCTATTTTCAGGATAATGGATCTCTGTGATCACCACATAGAAATCAATTCTGTTTCTCTGTTGTTCACTCCAGTGATAGCTCCAAGATACACAGTGGAACTGGCATGTGGTTTTGGAGCCACAGTCCTGCTAGTGGTGATCCTCATTGTCATTTACCATGTCTACTGGCTGGAGATGGTCCTATTTTACCGGGCTCATTTTGGAACAGATGAAACCATTTTAGGTGAGTAATGGAAGCTGGATGTAAGTCTTTTCTACTGTCATCTTTAGAAAACATATTGGCTTGGTAAAACCTAGATTAATTGGAAGATTTAATCAGATTACCTTTTGTCTCAGCCCTTACTATTGAAAACCTTTCTAATGTGTGTTAATTCTGCTTTCTTGGCTCAATATGTGATTTAGTCTAGATTAGCACTGTCCAAATAGAATTAATGTAAGCCACATAAGTAATTTATAACTTTCTAGTGGTCACATTAGGAAAAGTAAAAAGAAAGTGAAAATAATTTTAATAGTGTATCTTATTCAACCCAATGTATTAAAAATATTAACATTTCAGCATGGGGTTAATGTTAAAAAGCTAGTGAAGATATTTTAGTCTTACATTTGGTACTAAATAACTTCAAAATTCAGTGTGTATTGTATTTTACACTTACAGGATGTCTCAATTCAGACCACCTACATTTCAGGTATTCAGTATCTCCATGTGGCTTGTGTCTGCTGTATTGGACAGTACAGGTCCACACTCTTTGTACTCGAGGGTGATGCATGCAGCAGCAACATCAGCATCGCATGGGAGCTTATTAAAAGGAGAATCTTAAGCATAACCCCTATTCTGAATCCGAATCTACATTTTAACAATATTTCCAAATGATTCACGTATACATTAAAGTTTGAGAAGCACTGTTCTTGTGCACATGCGTGTGGTGACAAGAATGGGACATTTAAACATCCAGATTCTTAGATCCATCCCATAAAGAATCTCATTCAGTAGGTTTGTGGAAGAGACACATAACCTTTATTTTTAATGAGAAGTGATTTTATAATTAGGCGACTTTGGGAAAGATTGGTTTATTGAAGCTAAGTATATTTTTAATTATAGTTATCTTCAGCTATAAATAATTTAGACAGTTTCTAAAAGTTTTGCTCAATTTATAATTCTGATATATTTGTGAGGGACATCCTAGAGCAGGAACTAGAAATTTTCTGTGTGGTATTAATTGCCAGCACCTATGATTGACTAACTATGTGCATCCTGATTCTGTTCATTCATAGTTGAATGAGACAAGCCTTACTCATTCTCCACTATAAAAACCGAACTCAGTGAGATGAGAGTAGAAGACACATCAGATAAAATTTGCAATTACACCTTAAAATAGTCATTTTGCCTGGAGACCTGTCACAAGTGGGAAATCACACTGAAATCTGTCAGATAATTTATATATGTGAAAAATGGAAATATCTAATATGCAGAAGTTCAATTTAAGAAAAAATGCAATACTATTGAGAAGCTTTCCTAATTTGTATTGGATCTGTGTTCCTTTTGCTAGATGGGAAGGAATATGATATTTATGTATCCTATGCAAGGAATGCTGAAGAAGAAGAATTTGTATTACTGACCCTCCGTGGAGTTTTGGAGAATGAATTTGGATACAAGCTGTGCATCTTTGACCGAGACAGTCTACCTGGGGGAAGTAGGTGTTTCAGATGAGTACAAGTGATGCTACCCTGAAAGGCTAAGAGGATCCTTAACTTTGGATCATGTATGAGAGTCATGGCTCAGCTCTACGCTGGCATCTTTGGACATTTAATGTCCAATTCTTTGATGTAATTGACAGAGACTCTCTAGGAATGTAACTACATTGTAAGATGTAGAGTATTCGAGTGCAGTTTTTGGTATTGCAGTATTTTCCCTTAGAAGCTTTAAAAACTTAGTGTCAGAGAAGTGTGCATGCACAGTGGATTAGAGCTCTATTCAATGCCACAGCTTTAAATGCCCTGTTTACTCACATTTAAAGTTTTAGAAGTTTTAGTTAACCTAATTTATTTGCCTAGAATTGTTTTGCAAAGGTTGAGTTTAAACAATACATTTTTACAAAGACTGAGGTTTCTTCAATTTTATTAAAAATGAGTGCAGAGGAGACTGCATGGAATCTTTCCTTGTATTACTCACTGATAATAATCAGAATATTTCCCATTGGCATTTGCTAATTTCCTTTTTCTCAGTTTTTTTCCCTAGCAATCAAATGCTACTCAAATTCCTCTTACTTTCTATCAGCTTATACATTTGAGACAAGTTTAAAATTTTACAAAGGCCAGTATACTCTAGTAAGTTAAAAAAAAAAAAAAAGCTTGAATTGGTAAACCTTTTAAAAGAAAAGTACACCTCTATTTTCAGCTCCACATAGTAACACGTAAAATGTGGTCCATTTGAGTCTATTTTAATAAATACATGATAGCATTGCCAAAGCCATTATTAAACTTCTTACTGTTGAAATGCATGTAATGTCTCTAATCTTCATGACAAACTAATTTTCTTCCTCTAAAATCTGGTTTATGTTAAACGTTTAACATTTTTTTGAATGTTAATTTAAAATTTTTAAAATATTTTTTAAATGTTATAAGGATAATTGAGATACAGAATAAGACCTAAGTGTTTATTCTCATTTCGAGTTGGCTGAGTCAATTATTCTGTCTCTCAGTCATCACCCAAAATTCCATCATGCTTGTGTTCTACAGCAGAAAGCTCCTTCAGTGTAATTTTGCCAGGAAATAATGACTCAATTGTACAGATAAATTCCACACATTTTAAGACTTAAAGTCCTGAATCATTTATTCATCCATTTATTCATTCATACAGCCATTCAACAAATATTTATCTACTGTGTGAAAAGTTATATAAAGATATACAGTCTAACAACAATATAAAACACTCCAATAGGGATTGGCGGTTCTTTGAAGAATTCTAGTTCTCCATATTTACTCTTGCGTCTTGCTTTTGATGGTTGATCCTTGTGATCTTTTGCATCCCTCCTGCTGCTCTTACTCAGTCCTCTTTGCCTCTGGGTCTCTTTCCATGCTCACACATGGTCAACCTCCAGCACCGCTGCTTGGAGTAGACAATTACTCATTCCTGGATTCTCCTCCAGGCTACATATGCTATTTTAATTGCAAATCTTTCCCCACTGCCTCTGTACGTGGAAGATTAAGGGGCAAACTGACTGCTTAGGGAAGTATAGTAAGCCGTGAAATAGCTTTCCACAACACCAGTGCATTCCCCAGAGTTGGCTCCTATCTGAACCTCAGGTAAAGGATTATGCATTATACAGTTCTTGATAAGCAACCTCGAGGAGATGGATTATTCCCAAGAATTTAGTGACAGGAACTAATCAGACAGAATAAAATTACACTGCATTTCCATTTCCCCTGCTTTTTCTTCTCTTTTTTGACCTGAAGAAAGCATTTGCCAGTTCGTGAAGGCAGACACATCAGCTAGCAGCTGCCGAAACACATGGCTTCACAGTAATGATAGGAGTTTAAGGAGAAAGATACAGGGACTAATTTAGGCTCCAGACTAGAGAGCAGAATAGAAAGCTGAGCTGATGAATGTGATGCCAGCCAAAATGCCATTCAATTGGCTAAATTTTTTTAACTTTCTATTCCAAAAACATAGTGATACCAGTTTGAGTTGGGGAGGTGTCCAGAACAGAGAAGGGCTTTCAAAAAATGAAGATCCCTACTCTTGCTGTCCTGTGTTAATGAAAAATGAATTTCTATAATTTTGACTCTATAATGTATATCTTTTTGAATGTTTGCTGGCACTAAAGAGTTGATACATGGATGTCTTTGGGGACAAAGAGCTCAGGAGCTGATTTGACTGAGCCACAACATGCCACACAGTTTGAAGAAATTGATTTCAGTACAACCCATTTATTCCTCATGTCCTGCATAAGGCTTTTGAAGACCAAGGTCACAGAAGTACATGCTGACTTCCTGCCTGTTTAGAATTTTCTGGGTGGTGGAATTTGTGCATGTAGTTTATATTCTCCCTGAGGAGAGCAGCATCTAGTGAATAGAGTGGTTGGGTCTATGGATTAAGTTTTCAAAGCTTCTTGGTAAAAAGTTTCACCTCAGTTCTCAGGCTGTCACCCTAAGTTCCCTACACTTGCTCCTCAAGCCTCATGCTTTTGGGGAGTTCTTGGCCAACACTAATCCCAATGGTGTTTTCTTTCCCAGTTGTCACAGATGAGACCTTGAGCTTCATTCAGAAAAGCAGACGCCTCCTGGTTGTCCTAAGCCCCAACTACGTGCTCCAGGGAACCCAAGCCCTCCTGGAGCTCAAGGCTGGCCTAGAAAACATGGCCTCTCGGGGCAACATCAACGTCATTTTAGTACAGTACAAAGCTGTGAAGGAGATGAAGGTGAAAGAGCTGAAGAGGGCTAAGACGGTGCTCACAGTCATTAAATGGAAAGGGGAGAAATCCAAGTATCCACAGGGCAGGTTCTGGAAGCAGCTGCAGGTGGCCATGCCAGTGAAGAAAAGTTCCAAATGGTCTAGAAGTGGCGAGCAGGGTCTCTCCTATTCATCCTTGAAAAACGTATGAAAGAGACAATAAGAGGGGTAAAAAGACCCAAGGGCACTCCAGGAAGGAAGAGATCCCCCTTCTTTATTCCCAATTTATTGTGTCATGGACAGAAAAAAATTCTATGGAAGCATCCCCATTGGGATAAATTCAGGGCAACTGCTTGACTGGCTGTTGTTTCCTCAGGCAATGGTAAGGTTTAGAATGATAGTGCCACCAGTCTGTCACCAGTGTCTGATATCACCATGTTCTTTGCAGGCAAAGACTTGGTTGATGTGAATTTCTCCCTCTGCATCCTGTATTCCTACATGTCTCTATTCTCTCTCTCTCCTTTTTTTTTGTTTTTTTGCTGAAGGAGTCGCCCTGAGTTGCCATCTGTTGCCCATCTTCTTCTATTCTGAATGTGAACCACCATCACAGCATGGCCACTGATAGACGAGTGATGTAGGTCCACACCCAGGAACCAAACCTGTGCCACTGAGGCAGAGCATGCAGAACTTAACCACTAGGCAACTGGGGCTGGCCTTCTATTTTCCCTCTTTCTTATAATCTTAAATTATGGGGCAGCCTTTTGCTGTGGATTTAAGACCCCTTAAAGTTAAATCATCTGTTAACAGGGTCATTATGAGTTTCCAAGTATAGTTTTCTGTTTTTTTAAATTTTTACTCATCCATTGGATAGATAATCAGGGCCTAAATTTACTTTAGCTGAGGATAGTGAGCTCTTTTGCTCATTCTCCTGTACAACACACCATCACAGCAAGACTGACATCAACTTAGGATGATATCAAGCAGTATGACTGAAATGTCCCTTTTAATTGATTTAAAGGGCTTGCCTGAATTTTCTCCTACTATACCCCCTGTGCCCTCTATCTCAGGTAATTGATGTTATATTTATCAACTTGAAAAATATATCACAATTTTTTTGTTAAGTCCTCAATATCTGTAAGTCGTCTCATATTTATCACGCCATTTTCCCTATCTACTATACCTGGTATCAGTCATTCAGAGTTTGTGGGTGGCTCCATACTTGGTAGAGTCCGATAGGAAGCTTCTCCTAATGGTGCTAATAGAGAGTAAAATAGCAGCAAAATGCTTTTAGCGCATTTTCTGGCTTGTGAGAAAAGCACAGAACAGGTGTTTGGCAATTTGTCTTTTAAACTTAGCTTTGCTAATGTGACTATTAGGAAAGTGGTTTCTTCTCACCTGTTTCTGTCTCCCCATTGTAAAGTGTGGAAGTTAGACTCAGTGACCTTGAGAATGGCTTTTAAAAGCATTAATATTCTATGAGAATTGATTGGACCCCTAGTATTTTCCATATTTTATTCATTGGTTCAGTGGATACATTCACTGCAAACAAGTCAGTTGGAAAAGTCACTGTCATTGAAACTTGTTTTAGTTTGTTTTAAGTGAAATTTTACTGTTCTTAAGACTTGGAAAAGTGAAAACTAAGTCCAGAGTATATAGAGGTAAATATCTATGTTACATATAGATTTTTAAAAAATATATGTATACACACACATGAATTATATATAGATGTATATCTATATTGCATATATATACACATGAATTATATATATGTATATATATACATGCCTATGACTTTAAGCCATTGGCACACTATTACAAACCACTAGAACTCTTGTCCAGTTTTTAAATTATGTTTTTACTGTAATGCTTTTGTGTTACTGTTTTCTGTACATTAATGTTGTTTGTAAATTCACAGCTCATGGAGTGGTAGTCCTTGTTAGCTCTTGCCTTCCCTAAATTAATATAAATACTTACGACTGCTACAGTTGATCTGGGTGCAGTGAAGTCTGTTGTGCACAGAACTTCCGTGGTCACTGCTAAGCAGTAGCCAGTCCTCTGGCATTGACTGATCATCTACCATGTTCTGAGCACACATTCTTAGAAGCTAAGCTATGTTAATTTCAGTGCTCAACTACTGGAGAGAGAAATCTCTGTTTTGACTATCGACTAATAAAGGAAAAGAAAATAAAAAACCTATAAGTGAGCCTGAGTATCCTAAGAAACACTGTAATTCATAACTTAAGGAAACCCTTATCCCAGTAGTATGAATGTTGATAAGCAAGTCTAAAACTGTCTTCTACA